AGCATACCCTGAAAAGGAAGCTTGACACCTTGAAAGGGGCTTGAGTCGACGAGCTTCCCCACGTCCTCTGGGCCATCAGAACAACTAGCCAAACTGCAACGGGGGAGACACCCTTCTCCATGACCTACGGAGCCAAAGCCATGAGCCCGGTAGAAGTAGGAGTCCCATTGTACCGCTAAGTACACTTCAATGAAATCAATAACGACGGGGCTCAAATGAGCGAACTCCACCTCCTTGAAGAAAGAAGGGATACCTCCCAGGTGAACTTGACAAAGTATCATAGAAAGATGACCCGCTATTATAACTCCAAGGTCAGAAATCGGACTCTTCATTTGGGGGACCTCGTCCTTAGAAGGGTCTTTCAATCATTAAAGCCAACCGGGTCTGGAGTGTTAGGATCGAACTGGGAGGGTCCTTATCGCATCCGCAGGGAATCCCGACTTGGCACTTTTGAAATTGAAAACATGGCAGGGAAAGTACTGCTTCATCAGTGGAACATCGAATATTTGAGGAAGTATTATTAATAATGAGCTTGTGTTCCGACCCGATCTTAATGATGTCCAGTTAACGTGTGTCATGATCCGATCTCATTTGTAACTTCCCTATCTTACTAAGTCCTGGAAAGGCCTTAGTGAAGGGTGATATAATTCCTCTAATGTTACTTCAGTTGTTTGTCACATCGGTTAGTAAATTGTTACCTCAGTTCTTCAATGTGTTAATTGATCTGATCTTCTGTTATTAATTGGTTATTGGTAATAGGCGCTTAAGTGGTTGTCATTCATATACCTAAGTGTAAATAACTCAACATGATGAAGAAACAGAAGCGACAACACTTGTACAAAAAATTTTCATTTTCATTCATATTGAGGATTTAATTACAGAAGAGGCTGAAGCCATTACAAAAATATATTAGCCCTACTCTACTGGGGCATCTGAAGCCCTGGCCTCTGTAGCTCCTGCTCCAAGGGTCATCGGAGCGTCCTCGACGAGCCTATCAGGTCGACCTAGGTAGGACCACCAAATTCTAACTCAATCGAAGATATGTTCAGAGTAGGATGGACCTCTTTCAGCCTACCCAATATCCCTTGGGTGCTCCAAGAAGCCCAGAAGTTGGCGAAGTCATCGTACAGGGGGTGCTCTTCGAAGTGGTCGATAAAGTTCTGTACAGCCACATCTCCTGTTAACTTGAGCTCCTCTTTCAAAGAGGCAATTTCTTCAGCCTGGGCATCCCCTCTCTACCTCAGCTCTGCCTTTTCTTTATTGGAAGCCTCCAGAGCCTCCGTGGCGAGCCGGTGGTGCTCATTTACATGATCAACTCTTTGTGTCATAGCAGCCACCTGACGCTCCGCTTCATAGAGCTCATTCTTCAGTCACTTTATTTCCTCCTTCGCAACCCCCAGCTGGGCCTCAGCCTCCTTCCTTCCTCCTCGGCATTGGTCCGAGCCTCCCTCACCTCGTCACCATAATGCATCGCCTCTTCAAGGCGCTTAGCGAGGTCCTCCCTCTTTGCATTGAGGTCTTTTACCAAGCCCTTGAGTTGGATGCTGGTGCTTAAGGCCCCGGGCCACACAAGCACTGTTGGCCGCACCAGGTCCTCGGTAGTGCAGGAGGCAGTGTGATCTCTCCATTCCTCAGTCCAATATTTATTGTGGACCACTGCCATCGTAGCTGTCCCTAGAGGAAGAGCCTCCAGAACTTCCTTCGCTGGCTCCTCAGAATTGACGCTCAAGAAGTCCACCTCTTTTGAGGGACGGGTCTTTTTCTTCTTTTGCTGCCCCGGCGCTTGAGCAATGGGCACAGTGGTGACTGGCGATGTGGCCAGGGTTGGAGAAGCCTTGAAAGACGTAGGCCTCTTCTCCGGGATAACCACCCGGATTGGAATTGTCGTTTACCTCAAAGTCGAAGGTGGCATGGCCACAATTGGGCGCTTTGAGGGGACGGCGGGCTTCTTCCCTTTCCGCAGCAGATTGACGTCTGGGTCCTCCGCCACCTCCTCCTCGGTGGGAGGCTGGAGCCTCTTACTGGCCTCCACCAGATCCTCCATCTGCTTTTTATATGCAGACAAGGAGGTCTTCAAGGCTCTCGCCTCGGCCATCATCCTTTGGATGGTCTTGAAATCTGGCCTCAGAGGCAGCTTCTTATTATAGTTATCTGCAAGGAGACAGGCAAATTAGTACAAGTGTAAAGAGTTCGAAAAGTACTGAAGGAATTCGCTTCGGGACATTTACCTTGGGAGGCCATCAAATCATGCATCACGAAGTGAACGTTTTTCCTTATCAACTGGTGGTACGACCTCTTCTTCGAAGGCAGCTGATAAATAATGCAGATGATGTCGAAGTCATTGATGGAAACCTCGTACCGAGGAAGAGAACTTTTAAAAACAAACAGAACAGTTAAGTACCGAACTGAGGAAAAGTAAACAAGAAACGTAAAACCACAGTACTCACTAAGTGTCGAATACTTTGTGGAGACCGTAAGAGCCGCCAAGGAGTCCCCCTCCATCGTGTCCCATCTCCCGGCAGCCCAGCACCACGAGCTCTTCCACTCCTTGATGGAGTTCGACAGATCGTGCACAAATGGGGTGTGGGAACCTCATGAGGTCAAGTAGTACCAGCCATTGGTCTTATCTCCCCCAACCGCCACCTTAGGGATGTAGAGGGTCTGGAATATAGAGAAAGCCATCTCCACACTGAACGACGCCTCCTTCCAAAACATCTAGGAGCCCACCATTTGGCTCCAGGAGTTCGGGTTCAGTTGGGTAGGAGTTAAGCCGTATGACCTAAGTACCATACGGAAGAAGGGGTAGATTGGGAGCCTAAGGCCAGCCTTAAGAATCGCCTCGCTTATTGCCACGCACCCCGACTTAGGGTAGGAGGCCCGCTCGTCAGGTTCTGGTAGGATCAGATCTATGCTATCTGGGATCCTATACTCAGCCCTAATCTTTCTAGGTCAGCACCCTTTAGCTTAGAGGGGTAATCCGACGCCCCCCAATGCACAGATGTGTCAGCTGGGCTGTCTGGCCTCTTCCATATATTCTCTCCCCCAATAATCGCCTCGACCATCTCAGAGGAGGTCGCTAGAATGGCTCATCCATCCTCACCAGTTCTAACCCCCCTACCCGAACTACCACTACCCTCAAAAGCCATTTTCAGAAAAGAAAAGTTTCAAATACTTGTTGAAACTTTTGAAAAATGGAATGTCCAGCAGCTGGAAAAGGTCAAGAAACAACGTCAGTCACCGGACGCTGGGATTTCTCGCCAGAAAATGCAAAGATTTTTAGAGTGTATGGGGATTTCGATTTCACAAAAATGAAAAGCTCCAAAATTCCTCAAGTCTGCCTTTTATAGAGCGTCCCAGCTCATCTACACCATTGAATTCAAATGTAATCAATCTAGGCCGTTCGTTGCATCATCAATCTTGGCCATTGAAACGAGACGTCAGATTTGATATACGCCTAAGATCTAGCTATGACCTTCACGCTCTTGCGAAACACATTGCCTCGATCACCATCAACCGTCTGCAATAAGTAGCCGCAGCAGCCTTTTTTGGGAATGGCCATCGCGCCCAACTGTCGCCTTGAAAATACACGACATCTGTCTAATCATTGAAAGTCAGACATGCTCACCTCAGATTGAGCTCTTCACACAGCTTTACAAAGCTTAGACGCATCTGTTGCAGAGCCCCCCTGTGGGTCATCACCTCGGAAGCTGCGTTCCCTCCTAAACTTCACAAAGTTTTAGCTATCTCCCAACGTATCGTCCCCCTGTGGGTCAACGCACTGGTGGTAGATACACTCTTCACACAGTTGTACAAAGCTTAGACGCTTCTAATGCGGAGCCCCCCTGTGGGTCATCGTCTCGAAAGCTGCGTTCCCTCCTAAGCTTTATAAAGCTTTAACTATCTCCCAACGCGTCGTCCCCTGTGGGTCAACGTACCGATAGTAGATGACCTCTTCACACAGCTTTACAAAGTTTAGACGCATCTGATGCGAAGCCCCACCTGTGGGTCATCGCCTAGGAAGCTGCGTTCCCTCCTAACCTTTACAAAACTTTAGCTATCTCCCAACGCGTGGTCCCTTGTGGGTCAACGTACCGGTGGCAGATGAGCTCTTCACACAGCTTTACAAAGCTTAGACGTACCTGATGCGGAGCCACCTGTGGGTCATCGCCTCGGAAGCTGCTTACAAAGCTCTATCCATCTCCTAACGCTTCGTCCAGTTGGTAGCACATCGACTTCGGATAAGTTCTTCCCTTAGTAATAAATCTTTAGCGCGTCTGCCTGTGGTCAACGCTACAGTGAACACAGGAATTCAACCCATAAGCCCTCATAGATCGTGGTCCCCATCCCAAGGCAGACACACCCGATTGGGAAAATAAGTCCACCCATGATATAAATATTCATACCTGAACTTGGGGGGACCACTGTTACACTCCTATCTAAACCACTTCGAAAAGTCTACCACCGCGTTATACGAGGCGTCCAACACCCAACTGAAGTGGTTTCGAAGTGACGCCACCACCAATATTGTCGAAGTGCGTTATCTACTGAACCAATCGAAGCGTCCCCACACCTCAAGCCGAGGCGCAGTACATTCTAAGATTCTCTATCAGAAGACCCGCCGTCAATTTCAGAAAGAGATCTATGTCAAGATCATTTCTGCCCCTAAGGTTCAATTGATTTGACGTCTCCATGAGCCTAGTTGATGTGACGTATCGACTTTATGTCAACTCATCTCAGAAGAAGTAATTGCCCACCCACTCTATAGATGCGGCTGATTGACGCCTATGAGCAGACGTCTCACACGGTCAGATGCATACACGTGTCTCACATCCAACGGTTCTCCTCGCCTATAAATACCCAAGGTTTGACAAGAGTTAAAGGTAATGAAACTCTTACAACATAGCTTTTCATAGCAAGCAAATATATATTCTCCTCCCCCTTATTTAGCATAATCTTGGTACTGTTCCGACCACCTGAGGTTAATTTGATTGTCGGAGTGTATGCAGCTGCCACCACCCTCGTTGGTTCTTGCCGTGTGCATCTGGCTGTGTGTTGACTGTGCGCAAGGAAGAATGCGTGGAGTAGCTATCAGTTGGCCATGTGGAGGGCCCAATTTGCAAGGTCAACAGCGAAAATTGCAGATTTTGGGTTGGCAAAGAGAGCTAGAGGGGAAAATGGGTGTTTTTAGGCCTAAATTGAAGAGTACAGTTCTATATATGTCGCTTGAAATAGTTGCCAAAGGAGAACACAGTCTATCAATAGACACCTGGGCACTTAGGTGTGTGGTGGAAGAGATAGTTATCGGAGCTATAACTTGGCATTTCTTCGATGTGTCGAGGTTTCTAATGAGAATTGGTGGTGGCACGGAGGTGCCAAAGGTCCCAAAAATTTATTCGACAAAGCAAAAGATTTTCTTGAAAAATGTTTTGATAAAAAATCCGAGTACAAGATGGAAGGTTGAGATGCTACTAAATCAACCATTTCTTGATGATGATAAAAATTTCAACGACACTCTTACACTCAAAGATAGACAAAAGAATAATCGTATTCATAGTCATGCAGTAGTTAGCGACTATAATAGTCATCCTATGTGACATCTTGCTATTTGATATATTAATTTTCTGTAATTTTGTTGTCTTAACAAGCTAATGTATCAAATAACAAACTATCACATAAAATGATTACTATACTTGTTGACTATGAATAACATTACTCTAGACAAAAAATACTCTCTCAACCTCTTCAATTACATTTTTACTCTCATTAGAGTATCGAACGGAGTTGAATTTGACCATTTTGATGGTGGAGTGATTGTGGTAGCTAGTGACCATCGATCAAAATCGTGAATGGGATGCAGATGATTGGATCACCATCAAATCATAATTTGATCAAGAAAATAGAAGGACTCTTCCAGTCCCCCAACCCCTCGCCAAAATAGTTTTTTAGATTTTAATTTTTCTGGTGGACATAAAATTGATAGGTAGAGGGATAAGCTACACCTATAATTTAAGGTTATTACAAAAAGCAGAACTAAAAGTAGAAGGTACATATGTAAATTGTAATATATATAAATTTTCAATCTTGTGGGGAAAATGAGATTTGCAGTATGATTGGATGTGTTATTCGCGAGTCCTAAATTCAAATTCATCATGATTCTCATCCCAAAATGTTTGAGCAAATAGGCTTTTAATTTTTCAAAGAAGAATTCTTCATAAATCTCGAGAACGCTCCTTTCAATCTTACAATGTAATTGGAACAAGAAAATTATGCCCAAAACCCCACTTACAAAGTCACTAGTTCGAGTTTGCATATTTGTTTGAGCCCTTTATTTTTATTTTTATTTTAAATTGCATTTTGCTATAATCTTATGATGAGAATGTGCGATTAAAAAATAAAGAAATATTTTGAGTTTGTGGGTAATATTATTTTATTAAAAAATATATAGTTGAAATGAAATCAAATAATTGTTCAATAATGTATTTTGATAGAAAAATGAGGGTCAAACAAGGGGCTGTCATTTTTACTCTCCAAAGTGGATTGTGACTACACATTGGGGTGTAACAAAGTCATGCTTTCTCGTAATAGATCTCCTCAACTTTATTCACTCTGACATATTTCAATACTTTTATATAATTTAGGAATGTTTGAAACATAAATTTTACTCCCCCGTCTAATTTACCTAAAATAATTGATTAAAATCTAAGGCATTGTTTGAGTCGTATTTTTTGGGAAAAAAATTATATTTTTAAACATTGATTTGACATCATTTCAATCACACGTTTTTCAATAAAATAATATTACATATAAATCCAAAAAAATTTCTTATCTTTTAACCACACATTTTTTATCAATCTACTATTCTAAAATACATTCTTCCAAAATAATGTTGCTCAAACACACACTAAGTTAAAGTCAACAATGAATTTTAACTACACATTACATGTCTGTTTGATCCCCATTTTTGGGGGAAAATGTGGTTTGGAATAATAAGTTTTTGGAGAATGTGTGGTTAAAAAATAAAAAAATTCTATTGGTTTATTCGTAAAATATTTAATTTAGAGGAGAATGCATAATTGAAAATGAATTTTGAAAAAATGGAGTCCACAACTTTTCAATAACATATTTTATCAGTTTTATTAAAATTTAATTTTTATCTAAATCAAACTTGGAAAAAATTTGTTAAAAGGAGTTTATGTGTTATGCTATGATTAAGGCTAATATAAGCAAACTAATAAATGTTTTTTACAATTGTTATGATAGTCAACTCTATTTGAATTCATTGCTAATGTATTCATAAAATTTCTATAATACCATTCGTAGACATTAAAACATTAGAAAAAAATACGAATAGACTTATTGAAACCAAATGGTTCATCTAACTATTAAATCCCGAGTCTACCGAACTCCATTTATATCGTAAGAAGTCCATGTAGAAAGCTCATTCTATTTTCAATATTAGTTTATAGGAACCGTTCCTCCCACTCATAAATTTAATTCACTTATTTGACAAATAATCGTGATAAACTATTAAATCACGAGTCTACTAAACTCCATTCATACAATAAGAAGTCCATGTAAAAATCTCATTCTACTTTCAATATTCGCTTATCGGAATTGTTCCTCCTACTCATATATTTGACACATTTATTCGAAAATAATCGTGACCTTTAATTTAAGTCAGCACTATGCTCAATATCAAGTGGTTGTAATAAACTCTCCCATGATTTTAGTAAAGTATGTATTGAATGTTGGATTGACTTAAATTAAATGTTACAATTATTTGTCAAATTTTTGAGTAGGAAGAACGATCCCGTTCTCTTCTTGTGTGAACTATGCTTATGCTGGAGCAACATAAAAATGTACTTATGAAATATTGATACGTTGGAATAGTATAATATTCATATGAAATATTGATTTCAAATTAATAGTCTAAGAATAATGATATAATATTCTTTAGAAAATTTGACAAGAAGTAATAATTACATTCAAATAAATTACGTAATCATCGAATGGTATAGTCAAAATGATATAATAAATCGAGTAGTGTACATCACTTTACCGTTATACAATTGAGAGAGAGAGAGAGTACTAACATTTTCTTTTAAAGAGAAAAGGAAGAGTTTATATGCGATTGAAATTTGTGGCTTGCTTTGAAATAAAGAAAAAGAATAAATTCTTTTTATTGCTAAATTGTCAAGAAACATATTGTTAATGTGCTGTAAAACTAAGATGAAAAGAAAGAACATTAGAAGAAGCGTAATAAAATCAAAACACAAAGACCCATTTATAGGGTTTCAATACGAGTTACAATCTAAGTAGAATGCATTCTTTAGAGTAGTAAGAGTTATCTAAACTTGGTAAGACTAAATAGGTATTAGTAATTATCCAATAATTTATAACAATTTATGTATTTATATACACAGTGTGACTCAACCTTTACATAGATCGTCCTTGATGTTTGTTAACTAATGGAAATTAACTTTTGACTGTATAATTTTCATGGCTGCTCTGCTATACTATACTAGCTGTAGGGCGATATATATGTAACTATCTACACCACCTATTATAGTGTGTCATGTCATTTGGTACTTAGAATAAGTTAAGCACTGATGCTAAGAGATTGTTTACGTATGTGTGCGCGCACTATATATATCGTCAAGTTCAGTATAAGCCCTTGTTTGAGTCACTTTATAAAGAGAAATTTTGGAAAATTGAATTATGGAATAATATTTTTTGGGAGAATGTGTTGTTAAAAAATTAGGAAATTTTTTTTATTTACGTATAATATTATTTTATTAAAGAATGCGTGATTTAAAAGAAGAGAGAGAGAGAGAAAAATATATTAAAATTTTTAAAATTATTCTAGATATACATTTTAGTTTACATTATGGATGACATTCTTCATATGTGTTAAAATCTAGTCAGTGATGTGAAAGGGTGTTGGAAAAATCAAAGGCTATGATGGCTGCCTCATGAAAGGTTGTCAAAGTTAATGTGAAAGTTAATGTATATGAAACAAGATTGAATTTTTAAAGAGTGTCAAACAAGGGCTAAATTCAATTTTGATCGAACCATTTGACTCTAGATTTTTTATTTTTTATTTTTCAAAATTTTCCAGGTTTATTATCGTATTTCAAGAAATTTTTGTTCAGCAAATAATAATAATAATAATACAAACTCATGCAGTCATGCTTTTGTCCAGACCAACATGCTAGAATTAGAAATTCAAAAATGAAGTTATTCATGAACTTGTTATGCATGATGGAGGTGTCCTGCAACGCAAGTGTTTGGTTTCTAATTAACGAGTTATAACCCATAAGCAATGCCAAGGAAAAGTCACATTTTTCAAGTCATTCAAGACAATTAATTTCATTTTATAATCAAAGATTCACTTGAGAAGAAGCAAGTTAAAACCCTAAATTCATTAATGTCACAAAACTAATGGAGGTGTTCTCAACTAAGACTTTAATAAATTTTAAAGGATTATAAATTCTAATGAATTTTGTGGATTTGAATAAATTTTTACAAATTTCATAAGAATCTCATCAAATATAGTGAAATTTCAAAAGATTTGCTTATATATATTTTTAAACTTGAAATCCATTTCAATATTTTAAAATCCTTCTATTAAAGAAATCGTTATAAATCCACTAATTATTGAGACTATCTAAATTTTAAATAATTTCATTAAATTCTCAATTGAGAGCACCTAAATTTTAATGAATTCCATTAAAATCCAATAAAATCTCAATTGAAGATATCTAAATTTAGAACGACTTTTAAAATTCATTACAATCTCAATTGAGGACACCTTTTTTAGAGCTTTCGGGCTTAGCGCCCGAAGAAAGACAGGGCCCATATTCTTTTCTATTAAAAATTTAGAAAAATGATTACTTGACTGAAAGTCAAGAAAAAAAAAAACCTATAGTACACCTTTTTAAATAGATAGGGATCAAGAAAAATTATAGAAAATATAAGATATTTCAGCTGGAGCCCCAACTTTTACATTTTGCTTGTAATATCCAATATAATAAGAACCGACAAAGCCCCGTCGATTCGAATAATGGAATAGGGAACCCGGCACAAAGCCAGACCATAAATCACACAAAAGTTAGTCGACTCGCCCAGTTTTATAAATTTCGAATTTCCAGTTTCACCAGTTCAAATTTATGAAAATCACCCAAAATCCATGTTTGGAGTTTTTATAAAAAAAATTTATGTATTTTAAAATAATCACCAAATAGGTCTTGTTTTGACCCTTCTTCTAGTCATCGAACATATCGATTTTTAAAACATTGGCAACTGGTCGTTTGATTTCCCGCAAGTGAACGGGATAGTGAACAAGTAATAGAGTAATGTGTAGAGTATCGAACCCACGAGGATTATATCTTTGATCGAGTTGCAGTTAACAACGCCCTTAATCGAACAACAAAATCAAGTTATAACTAAACACTATTAAATCCATCAACTAACTTAAAAGCAATGTAAAAATTTATCAAATTTGAGAGACGTATTGCTAAAGTGTAGAATACCTCTTACTACTAAATTTTTAGTTCAACAATTTAAATTGACAATATGAAATTATGCTTGTTAG